ATCATGCTTCACACAAAGCAAACTTTATTTTCAGATGAAATATAACTTAAGCTCTTGCAGTTTTTATCTATCATATAAGAAGATTAGCCATTTTCATAACTAATAGCAGCCTGCTGGCACAGACTCAAAAGAAATGATTTTTAATATTTCAGAGATAAAGGACAGTTGGATAAAGACAAAGGCATTGGTAACTGCTGTGTGAGCTAGCACACTAAACCACACACTGTCCATTTAAAACTAGAGGGACAGAATGCAATCATATTTGGAATGCCACAGACAAAAACATTCCTTTTTAGTTTATAAAATCGATAATCAGATGTTGGCATACTGGAAGTTTGAAAAAACCAAGAAAAATACAATAGCTAACCTTAGGACACTGTACAATCTGTGTGGACAGTCCTGGCATCTACTAGGCACTCAATGGACATATTAAATGCATCAAAAGAGGAAAAAAGAAGAGACAAACAGTAAAGAAAAAGGAAAAAAGAAGTAAAAGGAGAAAGGCTGAAGGAGAAATGGAAGCAAAGGGGCAAAGGGAGGGAGAGAATCTGTCATTTTATTTCAGGACCATCTTCCTACTGAGGAGCATTCATTCATTCATGGATTCAGTTACATATGTGAGTATCTGCTCTAGGTACCTACCAAAGGAAAACAAACAAGTCTCTCAACAATGCCAGCCTAAGGCGACCTGTTCCTTTACTCTTGAGCTTTGATCAGGTGATTCTTGGCTAGAAATGACATTATGCCTTAACCTCCCACATAATACTTTCCGAGGCAATAATTATAAATATTATCCACCTCTGTAAAAAAACAGTTAAAGTGAACAAATTAAAATTAATGTATTCCATGCTTAATATTATAAACATTTGTATAAATCTATTTATACCCTCAGACACTATTATATTCAAACATTCTTTGACTATATACGTATGTATGTGTCTATCATTTTACACTAGTTTTACAGGAGCTGTTCACTCGCTGTACAATTTACAGAGAGTCATATCTTTTAGTTTAAGGGAAGAAAATCCATTTTATATCAACAATCTTAATTCTCCTTTGTTATAAGTTATATTTAATTTTTAATATAGCCCTACATTTCACTGAAAACAGGAACTTTTTATGAAATTAATAAATCTAACATCTAACCCAGCAAACCTGCCAATCTTTTAAGTACTTACAATCAAGGTATAAATATTTAATACACCAAAAGAATGAAATCATAAACAAAAATATTAAATCTTTACTATTCTAAATATCATTAATCACCCAGTAGTAATGTACATTTATTGTAGTAATGTACATTTTTAAATGCCATATGTAAGTGGAAACTTCCAGAATAAAGACTTAGATCTACCATATATTTTAGAATTATGTGAGCCATTTGAAAATGAAAAAAATAGGAAAAGGTATACCTTTGAAGGAAGATTTTTTTTCCTTAACCTTATCACCCAATGTTTAAGCAAAACACAAGTTTATAATAGCATTTTTCAAAGTGTTCCTTCATTTCACTTTTGAGGTTCTGAAAATGGGATAATTTAAATTTAAAAACCTAAACTATGTCATCTCATTTGAGATCAAAACTGACAAGTCTGAAAGTTGGATGAGTTCCTTTTCTACAGTAGATGACATAGTCTCTGTCAACTTGCTCTATTTCTTCCTGAATCACTCCACACATTAGTGTATAAATGAATAAAACATTTATAAAAAATATTTCCAAAATAGTCTTCAAGCAGGAAAAGCCACACTCTGGGTAAAACAGCTGAAAGGAAATAAACTCTTACATTATCACAGGCTGCTCTGCTTTATTCATGAACATTATTAAGGCCCTGAAAATGAAGAACAGTATTAAATCCCTGAAAATGAAGAACAGTTATTATCTGCACTGTGACAAAGCCAGTGTTCCTCTCTGCAAACAGCACCACTAATTCTGAACAGCAACAGATACAGGGATAGTGGTTTGTTCCCTGCATCTTAGAAAATGTTGCGTGAATGACTGCCCTTAGGATATAGTGAAACCCTAGGTCTTAACCATGGGCCTTTCCAAAAACAGATTTTTGTTTGGCTGTTTTGTTTATTTTCATAAAATCTGAAACAAAGAAATTCCTTAAGGGAAAAATGAAAGGGAAGCACATCCCAGTAGGCTAATTCAGACCAGGTATCTCTGAGTGCTGAATTCCAGAGCTGAAGGTGGGTTGTGCACAGAATAACTTTCCCTCTTCCTGCACCAGCTGCCAGCACCTGTCCCTCTCCCCTAAGCAATTCCCAACCTCCAGGCCTTCATCTCCCAGTAGTGTGGGTCCACTAAAGCCACAAACCCAAACAGTCGTCCCCATAGGCCATATCCAAAGGGTTAGTTCAAATACATGCTCACATGGGATCCCATGAGCTCCATGAGAGCAGACACCATACTACCTCCACTCCAAAGTGTCTTATAACCCAAATGTCACACAAAAAGGTGAATCCTGTTGAAGTAGAAACTATGAATGCAATCAAAGATCAAAATGGAGCAAATCTACTTATATCACTTGAGAAGTGAACTAATTTCCCCATTAAATTTCTCCCCAGCAGACTAAATTTCCCAATAAAATGTGTTGTTTTCTTTTTCCTCAAAAAAATAAAGACTTTGAATTGTTTTCAGATATTTTGATGGTACAGAAACTAGACAGAGAACATTTTACTTATTGATAAAGTAGCCAGCTCCATTATCATATGCAAAAGTGATCTCTCAAATTGCTTTTAGCATATATATTTTAAACTTGCTTTTTTATGGAGACGAGACTAAAACTACTTATCCTATTCATTAAATTAAAAGTAGATATTCTTCTTGTAAGGGAATGTGTTCCAGTAAAGTTAGTCATTAGGTAAATTTCTTATAAATTTATATTGCTTTCTCATGATTCTTAAATGAAAGTTGATATTACCAAAGAAGAAAATGGACAGCTTTTTTAACAAATCACATTTTGTTAAATGTGCTTTAACAAAAGGCTCTAGCTTTTGTTTTTTATAATTAATATTAAAATAAATAGCAAAACACAACCTACTGGATATAAAAGGCACAATTTATTAAATAAAAAAATAAAAATATATCTAAAATTATCTGACACTCTGGTGGGTAGAGAAAGCCCATGTGTTTCTACTACTTAGATTGCTGTCACCAAGTTCTCAGCAATATTTCCCAAACTCTTCAGCAACCTAAACCCATTTTGAAAGCCTAAAATTTCCAGGATTTCCATTTTAGCTTTTGAACTAGATTTGCTCTATCTTGGTCAATTTAGCCAAGAAGATGTAAAAAGCATTACACTATTCTTGAAGACAGAAGAAAATGTTCAACAAACATTCATTGAATGCCTATGTGTTATTAGTAACTGCTGGCACTGTCTTTCCCTTATACAGTTAACATTGCTACTCAAAGATAAGTAGATTTGATTTGTCATCATCTTCTGCTACATATCCTCACTTGGGAGGGATTAGGTTTTGACAATAAGAGAAGAAATCATAATGGAGCTTCCCTGTTTAAAAATATTAGTGACACTCTCAAACTCCAGCCAATATTTTCAGTCTTCTTCAAGGTGAATCCAGCTCAAGTTTTCAAACACATGATCCACAATCCCCACCCACATACCTACTCTGGTCAAATCTATCCACTGCTTCTTGATCTCTAAAATGCGTTTCCCCTATTGTACAAGCTATCACTTCCATGAGAAAAATATCATGACATCATTTTCTGTGGGTGGTAAAAGTCCTTCAGTTCAGCCAGTTCAAATTACCAGAGCTTGCCTAAAAGACATATGGATATGTTCTCCTCCATCACATGAATAAATCCCATAACAGAAATAACGTTATTTTCTAAGACATCTTTAAAATCACTGAATCAATAACATCTTAAAATCTGACATTCCATGGCTTCTACAAAAACAACATCAATTCATCATGAACTACATTTTAACTCAAATTTTATCCTGACTTATTGCATTTATTTTACTTAAGTGTAGTTTTAAAAATTAATCAGCTTTGTGATTTAGTTATGTATGTAAACAAAGCACAGTTTAAATAGAATGACATTATTACACTCATTAAAAAATGAAGTTATATTTTGTATTGAACAAAAGCAATAAATTTGTTTGAATAGCGGTATAATCTAGATATTTTCATTCATTTCATATACAGAATACTAATACTTCATAGAAGGAAAAATAAATTAAGCTATTTTATTGTAGTCATAAGGAATTTTATAGAGGAGATGACGAAAATAAAGAAAAAGATCATCTATTCTCCAATATGCTTTATAATTTTATAGCCCATTAATTTTATTTCTGAACATAGTGTTTGGATTAAGGTTGAGTTCTGATCGTAGCTGACCCTTAAAAATATCCAATTAATGTTTCCTATTTTACTATTTATCAGACTTGTCTGAACTTTGATGTATCATACTGGCGTTCCTATAAAACCACATGAGGTTGCAGGGGTGGGGAGGAATTAGGCAAGTATTTCTTCAAATCAGAACTTTTAGTGGTGAACTTCTTATAGAATACACACATACCGATTTAGAGTGATACACACCCGAAACTTATATATAAGGGTATGATGCAATATTCCTTCGATACAAATAAACAAACACACTTCAAAAATATACATTTATAACTACCCAGTTAAAAGCCATGAAATTTTATGTAGGGCAATAGTTTAATTAAATCTATTAATTGTATCTGTTCACACTGAAGTACAACCATGGAGGAGAATACTGAAAGATCAGAAAGACCCCAGAAAGGTCTATATCCCCAAGGATCATTTCATTAATATAACAGTATACCCAGTACATATATTTATATGCCCGAGGGTGACCTCAGACCCAAGTTTGGAAGGTCAGACAAAACCAAAACCTCATTTTATACCAGAATAATATGCAAAGCTAAAGAAGTAAACCCAGCCGGGTTTAGAGAATAATGATAATAGGCCAATCACATAACAAGGCTTGATTTCAGAACACACGGTACATTTACCTTGAAAAGCTGCTGCATTTCGAGATATTAGAGACTTCAATGGAGAGCTGGCTGTTTGCAGCACCTGCTGCATATCCTGGCGAGCTGCAATCTGGTATCTCTCCTCCATTTTCCTGGTGCAACATGTAGGCTTTTTGGATATGCAAACCTGAAGATCAGGCCCTGGAACACATATAATATTTTTTCAGAATAATGACCTGTTCATTGAGAAGATATTATGTGTTACAGCTCAAGTATCAGCAATGCACATAAGGGGTTCTGTCCTCCGGGAGGAATTAATTTACTGGGGAGAACTTAGTTCCTACAGGGAACTACAGGAAGATGTATCTAAGTCCATTAAGCCAAGATATCCTCAACCATGAACTCTTCGCTCACATCTTTTTAACTTTTCAATCAAATATTAAGCACGTCCACTCAACTACATAATTACCAATAACTAACAAATAGATTACATAATAGAAATCCAATTAAATATTAGGTATGTGCAGAGCTAAATTTTCTTTTTGCTTATTTTATCAATTCAGCAAAAATTATTTAAAATAAATATGTTATGAAGCTATATATAAGTTAAAACAATTTCTTCTCTAGAGGAAGCAAAATGGAATTCAGTCATCAGATAAAGGCAAAATAACTTGACCTGATTTTTCAGCTTATTACATTTGTGCTTCTTGTGGAATAAGTGATTAACAGAATAATGATATGATGGGGATTAAGACCCCCATGGGCCCAAACCCAACAACCAAAATTTTACACATCACCTTGCTTGCTAGAGACAATTCTTACCAACAAAAGCACTTTCTGGTTTTAAAACTTATTCAGAAAACCACTGGGAAGATGCAAACCATGAAATGTGATATATATATATATATATCAGTGTACACTTCACATTAAAATATTGCTAATATGATTCACAATTCTCTTCCTGTTTGGCAAGCTCCTTTATACCTCATGGGCATGCTAGAGAAACAAAGGGAAAGGCATGGGGCATGGAAGCGTCTGAGAAGATGCCTTGATGGGCCATCATGGGGTTAGCACCCCAGGGCATCCCAAGGCTCCTGATTTTTGTTTTTTGGGTTTTTTTTTTTTTTTTTTGGTAATTTCAGGACAATTGTACATGCAGGACTTAATATAATGAGTTATTCCATATTTAAGTAGAAATAACAGTTGTGGCCCCTGATCTTCAGGATGTTCCACTGTTCCCACATGAGCTCTCCTTTGACCAATTTTAGACCAGAAGATATAAAATATGCATGTGTGTACACGCGCACACACACAGAGAACAGCCACCTCTAAACTCCTCCTACTTTCCACACAGGCCTCAGATTCCAAAAAGCTGTTCCTGGATAACAGCAAAATATTTGTAGTCAGAGTTTCCTGCCAACCCAAGACACCAAAATTTCTAATAATTCTGACTATCGCTTAAGTTAGACAGACAACAACAGTGCTTGAGTTTTTCATAAAGGCAAAGAAGCATAAAATATTTATATGTATTGCAGCAGGTAACTTTTTGGCAATTGTTTGCCTAAAATTATACAAAAGCAAATTCCACTTCAAACAGTAATCTGAATGAAAGAAAACAAAGCTATCTTCTCAGCTTTATTCCTAAATGGAAGAATTGAGGAATTAGTATTTAGAGAAGAACAAGAAATAGAGATTGGGGCAAAGCACAAATGAGCAAGTATTAAAGTTTATAAGTAAACATATTTAGTATGGGAAAGACTGCTAAGGAATAAAAATGATAGTAACAATAATAAAAATGGATCACTGCAAAATCCAGAATTCAAATAGATACCTAACACTGTTTTGTTAGATCACTTTTCTAAGCATGGCCTAACAAAAGGCCCCAAATTGTGATCATACCTTCCTTTTGTCCCACTCTGCTCACTGCAGGGGAACCTGCTTCATAGTACTCTTCACACACTGGTTTTATTTCAGTTCCTCACATTCACTAAGTTTCCACTGGCCACAGAATCATTCTCTACCCCCTTCTCTCTGTCTGGGACACTCCTGTCTTCCATGTGCTTAGCCACTGTCAACTCAACTGTCACCTAATTCATTCAACCTATTCCCCTTTAAATCTTTTTTTTTTTCCCCTTTAAATCTTAACTCAGTCTTCCGACAAAATTTGTCCTTAACCTCCTAGACAACTTCATCCCTATAATGTCCTCTCCGACTATTTCAACCATGTATTGCACTTTTCAAAACAGCAGTGTTATAGTCCTTAATGTGATTACCAATTACCAATCATTGTCACATGGCAGCTGTGCAGCACAGGGCATAACAAATAATAAACACTCCATTTTCACTCAGTAAACCAAGAGCTGAGGTCACACGTATTATCTCCGTTAATCCTTACATTAACCCTATAGATAGGTATCCTTCCTGGACCACACTTTAAATATCAGGAAACGGAGACATTGAAGAGGCTTTGTAAGTGCCCAGTGTCCCATACTATATTACAAAACGGGGAGCTGGTCTTTGGAAACAGGCAAAGTGAATCCCAAGCTGCTTGCCTCACAATCACTCTACTGACAAGAAACAACGGTTTTAAATCTATAGATTTGCCTACAGATATAACTGGCCACTTAGCTTTCAGTTTGGAAAGAAGTCATCTGCTTGGGAAGAAAATAAATTTTAAGTTAGGAGCCATCCAAGGAGTTTTCCTTGAAAATAAAATCAGTAAAATAAAAGCTATAGAGCAGCTATTTGCCTTTTTGCCCAATTTTAAACAGTCGAAAGAACATTTAGAAAGATGGCACAAATTACCTCGACTGTTGTCCTAAACATAGTGTGGGAGTGACAGCAACTCTGAATAAGCATGGGAGCAATTTAGACCACTTAGAGCAAATACGTTCCTCGGGTTGATGAGGATCTGCATTGATTAATCCAGACTTTAATTTAGAATCGTAGAAGTTGGTAATGACGACAAAGAGCGAAACTCTAAATCAAGACTATAATTCAAATATCTGGTTTATGTCTAATTGGCTGAACATCTTCATCAGTGTCAACTACAAAATACACTCAAGTTACTTAGAGTCTTGGGGTGTCAGTGGAGGAGGAAAAGAGTTGGTCGTTAAGAAACTAGTTCCCTTGCTTCCTGTATTATCCAAAAGGCAGACAAGATGAACTTGTCTTCCTCAGGGAAAGGAACATATCTTACATTTTGCTCACTGCCTGAGCACCGAGGACACAGTAACAGGCTTGATGATAAAAAGCCCAGTCGGCAGTTGTTGCATTGTAAACAGAACAGGCATCATAACAAAGTAAAGCCAGATGAACCTAAATAGATATGACATGGTAACAAGACATTTTGCAAATATTTCAAAGCCTGGCTTCAAAGAATACAGCATCACGGAGCTACTATGAAAGAGAAAGAGTATTCAATCCAGACTCAGGGGCAGCAGCGGTGTGTCTGAATGGTAAAATCAAACCCCACAAGAAGGAAAGCACTGAAAACAAACAAAATTAAAAATGAAACAGCAGGCTCTTTGCCCAAGCAGCCTTCCCACAGAATTGTGATGGCTTTTTTGATTTCTCTCCTGGAGCAGCAGTACTGGTTCCATCTTCCTTTCTGTTCTCAACCTAAGAAACTGCTACAGCCCTCGACCTGCTTGTTCATGCTTTTTTAATATGTTAAAATAGGAACACAGGGAGGCATTCTAGAAGCTTGGTGGTGACATAGTTTTCACGACCTCCTAATCCCCTCCAGAACCAGAGGGGAAAAGTAAAAAATAAATCAAAAAAAGTACAACAAAGCTCTGTGACAAGGTTCAAAATCTAAATGGGGTGGGGAAAAACCAGCTGGAGTGGCAGGTCATCAGAGTATCAGAGTATGGGCAGGAGGTAAAAGAATGGAACTCTGAAGGATGTGAGGACAGCAGAACCCCAAAATAGCCAACAGGAGTTCACACACAGCAGACCAACTTGAGAGCAGCAGCTCAAACCAGAAGGGTTCTGCCTGCACCACTACTGGGTGTGTGCAAAGAATAAAAGGTAGACCAGAATGAACGTGCAGGGAAACATTCAGATCCCATCAACTCCCAATACAGATCCAGCAGGCTGCTTCCCAGGGCAGACACCCCATCCAGAAGAGAACTTCTAGAAGGGGAGTCAAAATTCAACAGGAAAGGGCTCCAAGAGACATAGAAAGAGAAAGTTAAGACCTAAGTGGAAAGGGAAATAAGCCCAGGAAATTAAAAAAAAAAAAGGCAGCTATATTTTTAAACACTACACAGAAACAACAGAAGAGGAAGTTCTGGACAGTTAGAAAAGCTATTCTGTAGTCCTTCTCAATCTACATGTTGAGGGGGAAAAAAACTAACTTCATATAAATGGAACAAAGAAAATATTGAGGTCAAATCACACGCAGAGTTATTGTAATAAAAAAGGGGAAAAGGAGGCAGAATAACATCTTCACAGACAAAGACGGCATGTCAGAAACACAAGGCCCCCGGAGGGAAAACAGATCAAAACTTTAACGGTACTATTTCAAAGCAAGCTAAAAACAATGATATAGAACATGAGAGAACACAAATCAGAATCAGGAAAATTCAGACAAGAGTTGACTATAGTCAGGAAAGAATTAAAGATGAAAGAAAAAGATACTGCAGTGAAGAACAAACTCCAAGGAACACAGGAGCCAACCACATAAAAGTGAAGCTCTGAGAGAAAGGGAAGATGGAAAACTGAAAAATTGGAAAGAATAAAAGTAATATTTAAAAATGTAAAGAGGAGAAAGACAGTGATAGCAGATACTGTCAATAACATAATACCTTGAAGGAGAAAACAGTCAAATTCCAAAAGCTACACGTTATGTTATACCAAAATGGTGTGGCTGTAACAGGAGATGAAACAAGTAATAAACATTCAAATTCTAACCCATATCCTTGAAAATGAGGATTCTTTGGTATGCAAGAGAAGAGACAAAGGTGTGAAGATGTTATGTAAAACTCTGTAAACTGGAAGTATTGCTGAAACTACAACGAATTTTTTCTTTAAAAAAAAATATGGATTCTGGCTCACTGAAAAAAAAACAGAAAACAATGCCTAAGCAAGCAAGTGGCAACGGCCATCCCTCCTGCCCAGATGATCAAATTAGTGCTTCTGGAAGAAATGCCTCATTCCAGGGCTAGGGCAAGTGAAGTAGAGGAGGCAGGCTAGTG